CTGTTCATATCCTGTGCCCATTTTTCTATTGGATTATTTACCTTTATCTTGTAGTGGTGCTCAAGTATTTCATAAATTCTAGATATAAGTCCTTTATCTGACATGTCATTACCAAATACTCTTTCCCAGCCTGTGGCTTCCCTTTTTACCCTGTTGGAGAAGTTTTTGGATGTGCAAGGTATACTACTCTTATTTCACATGTTCAGCAGCCATAGGGGATGATGATGTTGTTCTATGTTGTCGAGTCAACAACGACTCATGGTCATCAACCCTAACAACAGCAGATCCAAACCTTGCCCTATCCTGTGCCATCCTCATAATCCAGCATGCTTATGATAATTGTCACAATCTCTGTAGCGGCCCATCTCCTTGAGGGTCTTCCTTTCTTTTTCCGACCCTCCTCTGCCTTTCACAGCGTAGTCTTATTCCAAGGGCTAACTTCTCCTGAAAACGTGCATGTATTTGTGGGACAAACACAAAGTATGTGGGACAAAGCTTCACCGTCCCTGCTCCTAAGGAGCACCCTGGTTGAACTCCCTCCTGTTTGTCTTTTTGACAATCCATCCTCCTCTCCAACACTACACTTCAAAGGCATCGATTCATCTTCTGCCATCCTTACTCATCGTCCAACTTTCGGATGCATAGGAAGCAATTGAAAAGGTCATTACTTGGCTCAGATGCACCTTGGTCTTTAAACTGACAGCATTGCTCTTTGGCACTTTGAAGAGGTCCTTGACAGCAGATTTTTCAGATATTGTGTCAGACCACAAAGATAGAGAACAATTTCCATCACTGCAAAAAGTCCTGTGAAGTAGTGTTGCCCTAAATCCTAGTCAAGGGCGAAAACCAAACCAAAACGACCCACTGGGCCAGAAAGGGGGTTTAGCCCAGCTTAATCCACAGTACAATGTTTTGTATACAGCAGGTCCTTATAAAAGAGAACTCTCCAGTGACTCAGCTGTCTGCCAGGGCTGGCTCCTTTTGCATTTTGTGTTTTTCTAGGACCTGTGTGTATTTACATGACTCCTTTGATTACCTGTTTATTCAGCCTATCCTGACTGAGAAACATCAGCTTCTCTTTCTCACGGCTCTGGGGGAGTTGTTCTCCCATTAATCCGTCAGTGTTAACCTCTGTAATGTAACAGCAGTTGGAAAAGCAGCTGAGGCTTAGGAACACAGCCTTTGGGTTCTGTGAGTCATAGTTTTCATTTTCCCCCTAACTTCTCCTTGTTCATTGTGGGATCCCTGTGGGCTGGGCCTCTGCACTCTCTGGCCCCGGGCCTGTCTCGATGAGGTGGGTCACACACGCACACACTGGTTCTAGCAGCCGCCCGAGGGCCCCACCCTGGCAGGCAGTGAGTCATCTGTAACACCTGGCGTGGTGTTTGTCACAGCCGCTCTCTCTCGACTGGAGCTCAGATTCCTCGCCCTCGAGGTGCACCACTGAGGGGTAAAGTGCAGCCCACAGCTTGATGAGAGCAGAGCTGTGGGAATTTGCACTTGAGTTGTTTCCTGTTTTAGCTGTTCATCTGCTCGCCACGGTGTGTCCCACAAGCCTCTCTGACTCAAGACATTGCATACATCATCTTCTCCCCTTATGCTGGTTCCTTTTCTTTGAATTTCTTCCTTCCACCCAAGGCGGAATTCTGGAGATTATTTTAGACTCCTCCTCCATCTCCTCACACTCTGCAGCAGTCAGACAGGAAAGCCATGTCTTATCAACTCTCTCTTGACTGTGTCCGCCATCACCTCCCCCTTCAGGGCCCTGTCCTTTGGTTTCCCCTCGAGTTTATGGTGAGAGTCATTTGATTGTTCTGCATTCCCCTCTCTGCCCAAGCAGTCTCCCAGGCACATGATCTTGTCTCGCCTCTATGAACAATTCTTCATTGGTTCCAGAGTTTCTTTGCTATTGAAATTTAAATACCTTCGCAGGGTAATATTTTGGAACCTGGATTCACACTCATCCTCAGCCTCATCTGACTAGTCACTGGGCATTCACAGCTCTGAGAAGAGATTCCAAGGTATCTCCTGGGGGCCAGGTGACAGCTACTGTTCTTCCTTTGTATTCCCACAGCACCCCATGGATTTTCCTGTTTGCCTCTTCTCATAGGCTGGGAGCTGCTCCAGGAGCAGACACTGGTTATTGTTGTGTCTGCAGTGCCCAGAGGGGCCTAGAACACAATATAGTATCTCAGTGGAGATTTGAGGGCTGATATTGCAAGAATGTTTTAGGAATGTGTGCATGTTGAAAGGCACAACTACAGCCATACAACCAAAAGGGGGGGTTTCTTCCCTGAATGGAGACAGTTGAAAGGGAGACTAATGCTACATAAAGTGGCTAATGCTTCCTGACCTAGCTTGAAAGTATCAAGAGATGAGAGCAGCTTGATACAGCCGCCAATTACAGTGTCCAGTTTGGGATTAAAGATAGACTTGAAGATCATAATCAACCATCTGGAAAGCCTGAGCTGGTGGTGACAAGAGGGACCAGCTAAAAAGAACTTCCTTCTTGGCATACCTCTCTGTGAAGAGGCAAATGTCTTCTTTCAAGCACCGGGTAAGTTCCTTTTGCTAGACGTAGACAAGAACATGAAAGCACGTGAACAGCTGGATGTGACTCTCTCACTGGTCACGGAAAGCTCAGAACAGCCAGAAACCCCAGGACTCATCCGTGCCTCATACGGAGGATGTCTTGTGATTGACTGTTCTATCTGATGTCTCACCAGACCAACTTGGATATTTATTCTGTGATTCAGTCATGGATTAATTGGAATACCTGGTGAACAGACCCTTCTGAGGGCAAGCCAAGGGGCCAGAAGTCTTCACCAACATTAATAGAGCAAAGGAATAATAACTATATCTTAGGCAAAGTCAGCAGGGCTCCATTTTTGTTTCATTTCTGTCCTTTGTCTGCATTCCACTAGGTAATTTTAAATGGGGCATGGCAGTAAAATGGGGCAACTGTCAGTTTAAATTGCAGCTGCTTCCAGAATGCTGTCCTGCTTTTTTTAACAGATAAGCAAGACAGCTTCAAGTCAGTCCTTCCACTAGAATGATGCTGCCATGTGGCCTGGTGACACACACCCCATTTGCTATTCTAGCTCAGAGAAATTGTTCGTGCTGGGAATTGGTGGCCTCCGACCCAGAGAGATCCCTGTGTTAATTGGCTTAGCTTAGCTTACAAATTGCATGAGAGAAAATGACAATGAAGTAGATTTTTCCCATTGTGTACAGTGCTGTGGATTTCTGTTTACTACATTTTATTACCATTTGCTACTTTAAAAACAGTTCCAATTCTTTATTTTAAAACTGAAGAACTTATTTTAAAGACTAATTAGCATGCAGACATGTAGAATCTTTCCACTTCAGGTTAATAGTATCTATGTGCATACCTGTGTTCAATATATTTTGAAACACTGGCACTTGATCCCACAGCATTTTCAAGATTTTGTTTTTGTATGGCTTTATTTGTTGAGATATTGTAAATTACTGTGTACTGACACTGTGTCGGTGCTATGGGTATCTAATAGTGAATCAGCCATGTCCCTGCCCTCGGGAAGTTAACAGAGTTGGTAAAGTAAGACGCATATGAATGACTGCCGTTTAAGACAGTATCTGATGAGCGTAGTAAAAAGGCAAGAGAAAAAGCCCAGGGGTGTTTCATAGAGGATGGAGATGTTTATCTGGACTTAAGGGGATGATGGGCAGGATTTGGAGAACAGAGGTAGGTAGGAAATGAGAGTGGAAGAAATAGCCCAAGTCAAGACAGAGATGGGCATTTTTTGGACGTGATATGCCGTCTAGTCACCCTGCAGTATACAGAATGGGTATCATGTCCCATTCTATAGCTCCCCTCTGCCTCTTTGCCAGAGAGAAGCCTGGTTCTTCTCATGTCCTGCATGCCTTGTCCAGGGTGACTGTCCCTGTGCCTTCCATCTTCCAGCCTCAAGATGAGGAACCTGCAGCTGCCCTCCTTCCTCCTTTCTCTGGTCCCGGTCCATTACTCCCCAGGCGCTTTGAAAATATTGACAATTATGGTCTCAAGAGGGTACGATTGCTAAGGAGAAGGTATGGAGTAGCAGGGCTTCTTTTGTGGGAAGATGAACTTGGATGGGGTTGAGGGGGAATTACATCTTTATTTCCAATACTCTCAAGCTGGAACCTAAGCCCATGTTTCCTTTATGAGTGTAGGCAACAAACCACTGTAATATTAGCAGTACCTGTGATTTTGCCACCAATCAAAATCACAGGTATTTTCACATCTCATTAAACTTGTGGCAGATGTCTCAAAATAGCCTTTACGCCTGTCACTTGTTATTTAATGTGATAATAAAGAAGCATATATATTACTGAATCACAGATTTCTAAAAA